TTGCAATTCAGTAAATAACTTGATTTTGACACAATAGTAACGTTTCGAACTCCAATTTACAACTAAAGCGAAAAATTAACCAGAAGGCCTGGCAAGTAAGTGGTGCCAAAAAAACGCAACATAAAAAATATATCTTTTTTGCGTTAGCTGTGATAGGTACAGTTTCAAATTCTATATTTTATTCTGTGCAAATTCATGGAGGATAACACTGAAGATAATTAAATTTTATTTCACTTGTTAAGTAGGTGTTTTATACAACCCTAAAAACCTTGCTATTGAAAAAATGAAACTTGTTTATTTGGTATGGCTGGATTTGGTTTTCTATAAGCTTTTCAACGAGCCCCCTCTTGCCTTATGTTTCCATTTAAAAAAAAAAGTAGAAGTAGCTGGCGGTTAGGGGGTTGAAGAAAAATTAATTATTATATAACCGAAATATGGGAAAAAATCGAAATCAGTTAACGTGTTTCGGCGTTTTAAAATAAATTAACTCATTCAAAAGAAATGAATTTTATTCCGTACTTCTGGCCATCCCTGTATTAGCAATGTAGAATGCAAATTTCAGTTTTCTGAATATGTCATAAAACTGTTGGCATCATCATCCTTGTCTATCACATAAAATGACAAAATTGTATGTAAATTTGAAACATCTTTTCATAAAAGTAGGCACTTGATGTTCGACATTCAGAGCCACTTTACATAAAATTTTCCACGTTCCTCCATATCCTCTATCCAACCTGCTCTATCTGTCAGCTATCTAATCAACGTAAATTTCACAATTAATTTCATCTGCATGCATCCATTACTATTAAAATGTACTTGATAATTTCTGTCAACCACACAATTAATATACCGGCGCGGCGTGGTGCTCTGTTTAGCATGGTATTTTCAGCGGTACTTACGAACATAATAAATCAGTTTAATTACCTCGGCAGATGGTATTGATTTAAATTCAGTTTGACTTTTGAAACGAATAATTGATGGACGGGAGGGCGGCCCCTACTGTCGGGGGTTTGATTGGACTTGTCACACATTCGCTTGTCAGCCAACAGGATGATTTATGGCTATCTGAATAAGTGATGCACTATTCAATTTTTACCATGTACAGGGTGAACATATTCCAAGCTTTGTCTGGTACTAGAAATTCCCAAACTTAGAAGTTCCCATGCGTAGGTAATGCTTAGCTCTAAGATTCAGGGTGATCAAATTGAAATCCCTAAAAGTGTTTTTTTGAATGTATCTTCAAAATATTTTAACAAACAAATAAACATATACACAGGTATTATGCATTTCATTCTTTATAAAATAAAAAGACAAATATCAATAATTCCGGTAAAAATAGAGGGCCAGTAGGCAATACTTTGTCTAATATTTCTGAACGGGATATTTTTGACTTATTTAAAACTGGAAATTCAAAAATTCGTACATTTTCGCAAGTAAACTTCTCTTTCATTTATTTTTACCTAATTAAAAATAATAGTGTACGTTAAGAGTCCTAAAATTGTAGGTAATAACTTATTTTCAACACATAGATCTGTGCAATGGCAAATGCGATTCCATTTTAGAGAAATTATTAAAGACAGAACAATACATATCAGTTCTTGTTGAAATTTGATTCTTAAAAATCTACACTCAAATTGTTATTTCCAAATATCCAACAACTAGGTACCTACTTCTTTATTTGTACTAAATTATTATTCAACAATTCTGCGCTCGTAGCAAGTTTTTTATATTCCCCCAGATTGGTCTAGTGAGGCAATCGAAGAAGTGTAATATCTTGAACTTTAACCATTTCATCTACTACATATTTTATGTATTTGTCAGTTTCTTTTTATGCAATTGCGAATAATTGTGCTTTTTAACATTGTATCTTTATATTCAATATGTTTTCCATTCACCCATTACATGTAGATGTCAGTTTTTTTTTTCGTAGACTATGGTCCAGGAAAATAGATTTTTCAAATCCATATCTTCATGATATTCTGTTCGTTGCGACTAGAACACATGAAGCCATTATCTAAAACTTGAGTTTATGTGTAATTATTCATCGCCATCCTTTCCCAGAGAGTATATTTAACCTCGTAGAAAATTCTTCTAAAACGCTTTCCGTCTGCAGTTAATATTTAAATCTTGCCAAATATTGATGACCGTACACGACACTCAATTTTTCTAGATACTCTCTTCACCATTCTACAATTTGGTTCTTTTCTGTTACCATACTTTTTCGATTTCGTTTTAAGTAACGAAATGTCATTTCATGCTTTGTACGCTGTAAAACTCTGTGGTACAATCTAACCAAATTTTTGTCTTCTCTGATTACAATTTGAATTTTGTTTAATGTTTGAAGTTAATTTTTAAAATAAAATCATGAATCTTCCCAGATTTAGGGTTATTGTTAAAATAAATTATTGCTGTGTATTTCCCAGGAATAAATATTAATGTTTCATGTAACTGAAAATTTTTTCTCAAAAATCAGCAGACTTCTAGTAACACAATTGAAGAGATACTAAAAAGTTTGTAGTAAAAATAATAATTTGAATGTTTTATTTCCATTACTAAATAAGAAAATAAGAGTAATGCATGTGTGGTATGATTTTAAANTAGCAAGTTTTTTATATTCCCCCAGATTGGTCTAGTGAGGCAATCGAAGAAGTGTAATATCTTGAACTTTAACCATTTCATCTACTACATATTTTATGTATTTGTCAGTTTCTTTGGTACAGATAATGTATGACAGTAGGCCTTGCATTCCCTAAAATATGAGCTCTAATTGATCGACCAGTGGTGTACAACTGGACAGGGTCACCCCTTTTTTTATAAAAAAAAACCTACGCCACTGTATTTTTTACAAGCTATTGTAACGGATTTATATTCTAATGTACAAAATACGTAAAAAAGGTAACTTGAATTTTTTCCCTAAAGTTTACCGTTCTCAAGTTATTCATACCAATACGAGTTGTGGCAGATACTTCTAACCATAATATTACAAGAATATTTATATTTATCCCTAAAAGTAAGTGCAATTTGTAAGCACATCAACAAAATTTACACTCGTCGCTTTCATCTTTCTGGATTAAAACGATATTTGGAAAATCACGACGGCGCCGGCGCAATGAAAGGCACAGAAATTAAATTTTAAGAACATTTGACGACGATCCTCAGCTAAGCACACGAAGAACGCCTCGGCAACTTGGGGTAAATAAAAGTTCTACATAAGGATGGTAGAAATCCGTACCATTTACAACCTGTGCAAAATTTACTTCCGGGAGATGTAGAGACACCTGAATTTTTGTTAATAGTTGTTTTAAAGTCACAACATAATCCAGAATTCTTACTAAGTATAAATACTTTGGACCGATGAGACTACGTTCACAAGTCGAGGGGTAGTGAATTTTCACAATATTTGGTCACAAGAAAATCCTCATGAAATTCGGAAAAGATCTTTTCAACATGAATTTTCTGTGAAAGTGTTGCTCGGAATAATTCGGATCTTTCTTCTTGTCACCCCATCTAAATTCCCAGTCATTTCTAAACTTTCTAGAAAACCATATATTTGAATTATTGGAGGAAGTTCCATTAAAATATACCACAAAATAGCTGCATACAAATGGATGGTGCTCCTGCGCATTTTAGGAGAATGATACAAGAATGGCTTAAAAATTAGTGTCAACCATAATGGTGCAGAGAATCCAGTGTCTTGGCCAGCCAGATCGCCAGATCTAAACTCCCTGGACTTCTATATTTGGGGTTACCTATCTGAAAAGTAAAGTTTACTCTACTCCATTAGATACAAGACCACAACTACTGCAGCGAATAGAAGACGGGTGTAATGAATTAAAATAAAACTACCACATGATATTAGTTAGGTAATAGGTAAATCCATTAATTGATGTGGATGGTTCGCATTTTGAAAAATTGCTGTAAATACGTAACGTTAATTTCGTTTCTTGTTTAGTTGTTGTTGCTTGGTAAATGTATTTTTATTATTATTTTGATTTACGTTGTTCTTATTTGTAAAGAGTATTAGGCCTCCAGGGAAAACTAAAAACGTCAGGAACACTACCTCACAGGTGGTGTAGAAAGGAGTGTAAATAATTTTGTCGATGTGCTTACAAATTGCACTTACTTTTAAGCATAAACATAAATACTCTTGTAATATTATGGTTTGAAGTGTCTCACACAAGGGGATTGTACTGGTATGAATAATTTGAGAACGACGAATCTTAGGGAAAAAATTCAAGTTACCTTTTCACGTATTTTATGCATTAGAAATCCGTTACAATAACTTTTAAAAAATACAGTGGCGTAGTTTTTTTATAAAAAGAGGGCGACCCCTGTTCAGTTATACACCACTGGTTGAACCTTTAGAGCTCATATTTTAAGAAATGCAAGGACTACTCTCATACATTATCTGTACCAAATTTTATTGAGATCGGTTAATAGATTCCGGAGATATAAACAACAAATCAATTTTTTTTAACAACTTCAACACCCTGTATCTCCAAAACGAGGACGTTCCAGACCTATGATTATAAGGCAAACACCTATTATTTTAAAGAGATTTGTCTGCCCTCGAAGAGTCCTGCATAAAATTCGGATCACCCTGTATAACATGTAAATGCGAAGTAACTTCTTTTATCTGTAAGATACTTTCCATGTTCTGAAGAATTTACTATCTGCAAACCGTCCTCTTGAGGATGGATTAGATTCAGCGAACACAACTGCTTTATTGAAATATTGTCTTTACTTTTTTATAAGGACCAAATCAGGAATCACTGAAGCTTCAGCCAAACCATGCTACCCACTTCTTAATTGTTTGTCACATTTAGATGTTAATATATTGATAAAGGAACAGTGAACGGAAATTTTAGGAAAGAAACAGAAGTGGTCATTGATTTGATGAAATCTTAATGTATTATTTATGTCTAGTTTATTGCAAAAACATATTTTTTTTTAAGTTATCTCGTCTATTTTTGGCTCTATAAATATGTGTTTTCTTTCAGCAGCCCACATGGCGGCTCTGGGGTGAGGAGAAGGCAGATGGCGCCCTGTACACCGTCTACCTAAAGAAAGTACGTTACCATCGTCCCACCAGGAGTCTATCTTCATCACATTCGGTAAGCATTTCTCTATAATCGTAGAAGTTATATGCATATTTCCACATTTATTAAATCTTTCTCAAGCTGCGGTACGTGTTTTTCAAAATTTCATTTGTTGGAAGGCAGTTGTAGTAATTATAATCAAAATTACTAAGCTTTGAACTTGTGCGAACGATTTTGAGAAAAAACTAAGAATACCATTAAATACAACATTTTTATTTATAAATGACTTGTATTAGAAACAGATTTTTCCAATTTTACTTTGATATCTGAAAATGTAAGAGCAAGATTTAATACTAGTATTTCAAAAGCTTTTGAGTTTTTTAACTAGGACTCTTTGTATACCTGGCGTTTTTGAAATCAAACTTTAACAGCCGGTAGAAGATATCACTAACAATAAGAAAAAAGTTCATATAAACATTGGTCGTTCAATGCTTTTTTCCGAAATGCAGTTAAAAAAGTTAAAAAAAATAATGTTTGATGAAGCTTGGGTTAATGATTCTAATTACGCAGACCAACAAAATTTAAGCAAGCAGAAACTTGAATATATATTTCCGAAGGATTTAGATGCGCTGAATCCGAATCTGGCCTCAGAATTGCTCTATCACGTCAGGTTTTTGAGATATCCTAACCTAAAAGTGCAATATTCACTGTTTTTCGTCATATTTGAGGTTATGTAGTAATGCCTAGGGTTTGCAATCCCTCAGTCTTTTTTTTCCAGCTGGAAATTTGCGGTAAATTCGCCTTTACAGCGGGATCCCGCTGTAATTCCCGCGGTAGATTTAAAAATATATTTATATATGAAAATAATAATGCTATTATTGTGGAATGTTTATATTTAATCAAATGAAATATAAATAATTCTTGGNTTTTTTTTTATATGTACAGCACTGAATTGAAAATATTTAGTGGTTTACACGATAAAATTTTAAAAACGGATTGTTTGTAGCAGAACAATATAATATTATAGCTAAATTAAGGAAGCATCTGACAGTAGTGATTAATGACTCATTAATCACTGCCGTGATTAATGGGTATTATTAAGGTCGAGCAAACAGACGTATAATGGGTACATTATACAATAGTCGTGGATAAAATCAATTAAGAGTTGATTTTTTCTCTATATTTAACTATTATTGGATAATTTTTTATTCAGACTCCACGTCACGAGATGACTTAAAGGGGGCGATGGGAATAGACAAAGACAACTCACGACAACCATATAATGGGGTGGGGGTCATTCAATAATGAGGACATTTATTCCGATTTAGCCACAAGTGCACCAAATACAAGTTTAACTGCAGAATTTATTTGACGGGTACCTATGTTTGAGTGAAAGTACTCAGCTTTAGTTCAAATATTATAACAAATGAGTAAAATTATCAAAATGCTCAATATTGAGTGAAAATGTACTCAATAATTTCACTCAGTGGATTCACTCGGTACCTTTATTGCTTTCACTAACACCGATTTTTTTACAGCGCAGGAAAAGGGTAATCTAATTCCGATTGGTATTACTGACAAACAAACAACTACTGTGCGGACTACAGACCCCGCCCAGCATTGAATTACGCCTTCAGTATCAAGTAAACAGCTAAGATCATTTGTCAGCAGTATCGCCAGATATAGACCGGTTTTGTGTGATCTAGCTATGTAAAGACATGAAGTACAGACACCTGCTATATCTAGCGTCAATATCCCCAGAATAGTTGTTTCCCGTTTAGTAGGTGCCAGTGATAATTAACATACTTTGAAGGTTATACCTCAACCACATTTTTCAAAAAAAAATTGAGGAAATAACGACTTATCTGAAAAAGTCATTTGACTGAAATACTGGTTTTACTTTTTTGAGCNTTTGGGGTTTGTGGGTTTGTGGATTTGGAGTTTGTGAGTTTGAGTTCGTATGTATTGAAGGATTCTGAGAATGAAGTTTCTGAACTGCAATCAACTGTTTGACGTCTAAGGGATCCTTAGTAGATTGTCGCATATTAAGAACCTGATAGACTTGGAAATTTCAACATGTGATATCTCAACGAAAAAAAAAAAGATATTTTAGCAAACTCAACGGCATTCGAAGGAGGGAGCCTTGTACTTTTAGATTCAATGTGTTAGTTTTTTGAAAAAGAATAGATGGCATTACTACATAACCTCAAATATGACGAAAAACAGTGTTTTTAGCATTTTTAGGTTAGGATATCTCAAAAACCTGGCGTGATAGAGCAATTCTGCGGCCAGATTCAGATTCAGCGCACCAAAATCCTTCGGGAATACATATTAGTGTGTCTTCTTGACGCTTGTTGACCTGTGAGGCAAAAACTCACTGAATTTCTACACAAATCTATCTACCAATAGCGGAGATACTGCACTGTATTTCACTTAAATTCACTCAGTTTTACTCAATAATTTCTGTCCGTACTTGGTTGAGTGATATTTTCACTCTATTAGTATGAGTAAGTACAACTAAAATTTTATGAATGAAACTATTGCGACAGAAATTTTTCTCAAATCCTAGTTTCTGCTAACTATCAAGTGAGTGACTTTCGACTCTATTCTGAGTAAATGTAAAAGAGTTGATTTTTTTCACTAAATTTAACTATTATTGAATAATTTTTTATTCAGACTCCACGTCACGAGATGACTTAAAGGGGGCGATGAGAATAGACAAAGACAACTCACGAAAACCATATAATGGGGTGGGGGTCATTCAATAATGAGGACATTTATTCCGATTTAGCCACAAGTGCACCAAATACAAGTTTAATTGCAGAATTTATTTGACGGGTACCTATGTTTGAGTGAAAGTACTCAGTTTTAGTTCAAATATTATCACAAATGAGTAAAATTATCAAAATGCTCAATATTGAGTGAAAATGTACTCAATAACTTCACTCAGTGGATTCACTCGGTACCTTTATTGCTTTAACTCACACCGATTTTTTTACAGAGCAGGAATAGAATAATCTAATTCCGATTTGTATTACTGACAAACAAACAACTACTGTGCGGACTACAGACCCCGACCAGCATTGAATCAGTATCTAGTAAACAGCTAAGATCATTTGTCAGCAGTATCACCAGATATAGACCGGTTTTGTGTGATCTAGCTATGTAAAGACATGAAGTACAGATACCTGCTATATCTAGCGTCAATATCCCCAGAATAGTTGTTTCCCGTTTAGTAGGTGCCAGTGATAATTAACATACTTTGAAGGTTATACCTCAACCACATTTTTCAAAAAAAAAAAAATTGAGGAAATAACGACTTATCTGAAAAAGTCATTTGACTGAAATACTGGTTTTACTTTTTTGAGCAGCAATTAATTGGATCTCAGTCGAAAGTATTTGTAAGATGTATTTGTACAATATGTATCTTGTGATACATAATTTGCAATTCGGAAGACTAGTAAAAATATATTTTATCTATTTATATACAACTATAAGTTATGTTAACCTATTGAATGCCAGAATATGTATTATAAAATGGAATGTTACACCCAAAATAATTGAAATGAGGACGATAGTTATATTTTTGCACGTGCGGGATATTTAACATTTTTTTCCTTAATTTGCATCGAAGTGAAAAATTTTCACAACAGAAATTTTAAAATAACAATGTGAGGGAAATGACTACATCAACATTTTAATAATTATTATTCTTTTCATAAAAAAATAACGCATCCAACCGCAGGAAGTAAATTAATTTATGCTGCCACAACTAAACGCTTTTCATAATTCACCATGGCGTGATATTCATTAATTTCAATTACGGAAGCATTATTTTCCCTGACACGAGTTAAAATAGCGACGGCGATGCTTGTAACTTACATTTCCCATCTTGAAAAGGTCAGCTTAAATCTGACAAGAGACTTTGCTGTTTATTATCTAGTCGGTTGGTGTTCATAAATTTATCGGAAAGGATCGATCAAGCCCCTTTTAGCGACTTCCGGAAAACTTCCGAAATGTCACGGTCTGAAGTTAATCATACGTGGTGGATCAATTTAGAGTGAAGCTCGTTCACGCCTTGCGTTAATGCGATTTTAACCAAAAATTGTTGTGAAAAGAAAGAGTAGGCGGAGAGTTATACCACCAAATTTTAGAAATAGATGCACTATTTAATTATTTTTTGTCGAAATTGTCAGTAAGAGAGAAAGATGTTTACGTCATATTAATTTCACACGAAGTGGTACAAAATAGACATTATTTTTTAAATTAAAGCAACAACAAATTAAAAATGTTTATGTATAAAATCTAAGAAGTTGCATCTTTATTACTTTGACAGGCAGACTAGCCTGTCGAAGTCATAAAGATTAATCTTTTCGTGCTTATTAAATTTTTCCGCCAACTTTACCAATTTTGCTTCGATTAACAAATCAATGTTACTATTTTACGTCCCCAAATACTTCATGAACTCATTTACTTCATATCCGTTACTTCACCATGGGAGAGTCAGTGAAGTATTTACGGAATAAAAAAAAATTACGTCCCTAAAACGTTTCACTTTTCGTCAGAATTTCGTTGTATTCTGATTGAAACATACATATAATTTAATAATAATATAATAAAAACTACGTTTGTTTCAAAAAAAATTCTCATATTCATTTTATACAGGGTCGGAAAGTCCCCATAGTTCATCGGCCGTTACGTGAGAGCGATAAAGTAAGTCATAGAAATCCGTGCGATAGAGAAAGATGGCTATAATGAAGGTGTCTAATAGTCACCACCCATTTCGCCCTTCCACAAATAAGAAGTGGACAAACAACAACTTAACTAAAAGTTACACACATATTGTGTCAAATATATTAAATATAAGTATATTGTAATTATTAAACAAATAAATTGTTCGGTAGGGTTAATTTAACAGAGGAAAAACCTTGTATACTTGTCGACTATTCTTGTTTCTTATCCTAACCATGATTGAGTACCTTATTATGAAATATTGCTATCAAGAATATAATGTTCGTGAACAAAACTGTTATCGCTTATTATTGATAGCAATAATGATATACCAAACCAAAAAT